CCGGAAAGTCTCAAAGTCTGGCCCGGCAACTAGGCCCCGGCGCGGCATGGCTCTTGCTCTATTGGTCGCCGGCTCCTTTAAGTTTCTTCCTCGCCCCTCAGCACACGCTCATTGCTACATCCTCCCTCATCCTGGAGCTAAGACCAGAGCGTTTACCCGCTGACATGGAAACCATTGTCCCTTTTCAGCCACCGTCTAGAGGTCAAACGCTGGGTGGGCGAAGAGTGGCGTCGATCCATGGGAAACGTAGTTTGCTTCCCGCTTTCAAATAATTGAGTTACGTCCTCAGGAGCTCCGGGGGGAATTCAGAGTGGCCTGGGCTACAGGGGATATTTAGGACAGACTTTTCTCGAGAGGCAGAAAAACAAGGGAGAGTTGTGCGATTCTGAAAAAATATATTCTTGCTAAATTCCAGGGTTCTTAAAGAATATGTAAAAAAAATTAGAGGTAAAGTTTCTCGCGATATCTTAATACATCCGGCATAATAGAACTCAGTGAGCCACAGCGCTGGAAAGTAGAAGCTCGCGAGATCTCTGCAGTTGCCGAAGAGAAGAGGAGGAAGAGGAGAGGTGATCTCGCGAAAGAAAAGCTGCCGGGAGAGCTCGCGAGATCTCAGACCACCGGACCCGAAAGGTTCTTAGGGAGTTGAAGGGCCTGGAGGCGGCCCCGGAAGAAATGGCGGGAGCTGGGCCGACCATGCTACTACGAGAGGAGAATGGCTGTTGCAGCCGGCGTCAAAGCAGCTCCAGCGCTGGGGTTAGCGCGGGCTTGGGTTCCGAGATTGAGGGGCAGTCGGGGAGCAAGATGGGGGGGATGGTGGGGGGACTGCAGCTCCCGGCAGCCTCTAGGATTCGTGTGAGCGCCCCGCGGGCTGTCGGGAGCTGTGGTTCCGTGGGCGGGCAGCAGCCTCGGCGGCGCGGTCTGAGCGCGTGTACTGCCCCGCGCAGGACTCAGACGGGGAGCGCGAGGACTCGCCGGCTGCGCGCGCCCGGCAGCAGCTGCAGGCGCTGCTCAACAAGACTATGCGCATTCGCATGACAGATGGACGGACGCTGGTCGGCTGCTTCCTCTGCACCGACCGCGACTGCAATGTTATCCTAGGCTCGGCGCAGGAGTTCCTCAAGCCGTCGGGTCAGTGCTCGGGGAATGCACCGCCTGGGAATGCGGTGGAGCCTCACTCAAGGCATTTCCCCTTTAGTGCCTGGCTGCACCCCTTATTTTGGGAGGCTAGAAGTCGTGGCTCAAAAGGGGCGGGACCGACGCTGGCTGGCCTCCCTGATGTTTTGACCCTTCTTTCCAGATTCCTTCTCTGCTGGGGAACCCCGTGTGTTGGGCTTGGCCATGGTACCCGGACACCACATCGTTTCTATTGAGGTGCAAAGAGAGAGCCTGGCGGGGCCTCCCTATCTCTAACCATGATCGCGCATGCCTTTTAGACTTCATTAAACTTGTAACCCAAGTGGCCTGTGTGTGTGTAGCTGGATGCCTGGACAGAGATCGCACTTCCCACCCCTAGAGGGGAGGTTTATCTGAAGTCAGAAGCACTGTCAGCCCTCCTTCCACCACCTAGACTTCCAGGAGTGCCACAGGTCCCCTCAGGTTCGCGGGCGGGGATGGGGGACAGGCTGAGCTTCGGACCAACAGGTCCCAGGGTGGACCCCTCCATCTTCCCTCCCACGCTGCTGCTCCAGAATTGTGGCGGGAGGGGGTGTCATCCTGCTCCGGAAGGTCCATTGTTTCCCTTCCCGGCCTGGCAACACCGAGTTCCTCTAAGCTGGGGTCAGAGAACGGGCTCGGGTCCCCAAGGGGAGCAGGGCAAGCGACAAAGTCCAGGCCCTCTCCACTCTATTGATGGGGAGGTGACTTTGGGGTCAGGGACAGAGCTTGGGTCTGGTCAGGAAGAACAGGCTAACGCGATAAGGGAAGGCCAAGAGGCTGGAGGATGCTCCCGTCTGCACACTTGAGCCACACCCCCCTCCCATGTTGTTTCCTTCTCCTGGGCACATAGCAGTAGTGATAGTATTTGTACCGCCCCTCTGTTCACAGGATCCAAGCAGCACATTCAGTTCATTAATTCTTTATTAACGTGTGGTCACTCCTTCCCCTCCAACCTCACCCATCAGCCCGTAAATACTAGCGGAGCTGCCGGAAAAGGAGGCACCAGTGAGGTTCAGTTGTCTGTTCACAAGATGGGGGGTGGGGTGGGGAGTGTGTGTGCAGGGTCCAGCCCAGATACTCAGGATTCAGACATGGGTAGTAAAAAGAAAGGGTTTTCTGGAATGGCGAATTTTCACCAACATTGGGTCCACAGATGCTGCAGTTTGCCAAGGGGATGCTAGGACTGGCTTAGGCAGGGATGGGGCAGGGTAGGTCGGAAGACCCCCAGGCTTCAAGTCCTTGGGCGGATTGAAAAGGAGGGCATTCGTCGGGGTTGTTCTTGACTCGAGGGTCCTCAAACCCATACCTTTCCTGACGTGGGAACGGCCTGGGACCCTGGTGAGGCCCGGATTTGCCGCAGCTGCGGGGAGCGCCGACGCCGATAAAGGGCTCGGCTGTAGGGCACGAGGCAGTCGGCCAGATGGAGGCGCAGGCAGAGGCGGCGGTAGCTGGCCAGAGCAAGGACGAGCAGCGGCACGAGTAGCAGGAATCCGGTGACCAGCAGGGCCGTGAAGCCTGGGTCCCGCAGGTGCGCGGTGCAAGGGGGTGCCTGGGAGCGCAGAAACTGTAGACGAGGTGTCAGGCCCAAGCCGAACAGCCCAGGCGAGAAGTTGTGGCCCATAAACCCCGAACCCGTCCTCACACGCACACCCTGGGGCGCCCGCTCACCTGGGAGTGGCAGAGGAAGCCAAAGCTTAGCATGGTGACCGCGGGCAGCAGGATGGTCCCCAGCACCAGCGCCAGCAAGAGGAGATTGAAGGCGGCCACCAGCAGGTTCTGGGCGGTGACCAGCACAGCACAGGCCCAGCAGTCCAGCGGGTCCCGGGGCTCCGGGCCGCCGTTGGGAACCGGTCTCTGCAGCCCGAGGACATCCGCCATGGCCTGCCTGGCTCCAGCCCGCCTGGCAGCGGCCCTTATAGCCCTCTTTCCTGCCCCTCCCCGGCCGGCCTCTCCCACCCCGGCCCCCTTATCCTGGAATGCGGCTTCAGGAGAAGGCACCCCCCCCAGACCAGAACTCTTGAACATTCCACAGGCGCCTCTGGGGAGGGGTTCCCTCTGCCGGGGTCTGGGCAATCTCTCCATCAATCACGGCTTGCAGCCCTTCTTCCCAGGATTCTCCCTATCATCAGCACACTAAAAACAGGATTGTTTTTTTCTGGTTTTATTTTTAATATTAATATTCTCACACAAAAATCACCGAAAATAGGGGTAGGATTGGGAAGACCCCTCTGCCCCTGGGGCAGAGAGACAGTGCAGTGCGAGGGGCGGGACTGTAAACCCCCCACCCCTCCGCAGCCCCAGCATGGAGGAGAAAACTGACAACACGAAAATAAAGCCCCAGAGAAATTCTTCCCGGGGTGTCCCTGCCCCAGGGGGCCCTGACCCTGGGCTGTTTCACACTTAAAAAGAAAAGGGTGGGGGCGCAAAGGGAAGGTCCATGTTTTTAAAATTGGCCGGGGCTGGGAAGGACGGGGTTCCTTTTCCTCATAGTTCTTTCTTTAAAACTTTTAAATTTTTTTATTTTATTTATTTTTTTACAAAATACCATTTCAGTTCCCACTTCTTCCCCTACAGTACAGGAGTCGCTCACCCTCAGGCAGGGTTGGGGTCGGGTCGGATGGGGCGAGGAGGGTCTGGTCCAAGAAAGTGCAGGACGTAGGGGAGGGGAGCGGATTTGAGCACCATGAGAGCCCGGCTGGAGCCGTGGACGGGCGGAGACGGGCGGGCCGGGCCGGGCCGGACACACACTGGGGCGCAGGGAGAGCCCTGCGGCGGGCGGCCCTGGAGGGGTGGGTGGGATAGTTTGGGGGGTGCGGGAGGTCGGGTTTTCCCAAAAATGAATAAATAGGTAAGTGGGACTGTTATAAATTAAAAACAAACAAAAAAACAAAATACAAATCATAACCAAGTGAATAAACAAGAGACATGTACAGGGATCACAGCTAGCGTTGGGAATAAAAAAGGAGGTTCTGAGGGAGGGGTAAAGCCCATAGAAAGAATCTCATTAAAATCCTCGGCTGCCGTCACATTTATGTACATACACGAGCCGCGTGCATCTGCGCCGGGCAGGCGGCGGGCAGGCGTGAGGGAACCCGTATTGACCCCCGCCGCCGCCGGAGCCTGGTCCTTGTGTCTGTTGCTAAAAAGGCCAAAGTCGGTGAGAGGAGGCGCTGGTGGGCGAGGGGCTGCCAGCCCCCTCCCCCGTCTCCCTTTATTTTTTTTTTCCTTTTTTCCTCATATTTGTTCAAAGAAACTTTATATTCTTTATAGATTATGTTAAGGGTAGCTGCCAATGTCAAGGAAGTCATTTTGAGGCTGATCCTTCTCGCGTGTAGTTTGGCCCTATACCTCACACTGTTCCTAGAGGATTGACACTGCCAGCACGCCTGCATGTGTGGTTTAAGCGTGCATGGACAAAGATTTATACTTCCAGTGACCGTTCTGCTTATCATTATGGAAAGGGATCAATAGTGTTTCACCTCACTCACATCCCTACTGGCGCTGTATAAGATTCATTTTCGCACAATAAAAGGGAGTAGTTGCCATGATAA